GACAGCAAGCAGGAGCTCATCATCAGAGTGCAATCAATGAAGAAGGTGGGGAACGGTGGGCTGTGGGCCCAAGTTGGGTTGTTTTGCAGGCGTGGCATGTGGGGTGATGTGCAGGCTCATGCGGGCGGCATGTGTCAGCGGGGCAGGCACACAGCTGGCCTGCAAGGATCCTTCTGCTGCCTGCCCTTCTTTGCCGATCAGGGCGCACATTGCCGGCCCCGACGCCTCGCATGCTCCAGCCAGCTCATGTGGCCGGCACGGCTTGGCCCCACGTGTGTTTCACGGGCCTGCTGCTCTGCCTGCACGCCGCCTGCCCCGCCTTCTCCCTGGCGCTGCAGGACCTAGCGGACTGGCGCAGCCGCATGAACCAGCAGGTGGAGAGCTACCGTGCAGAGCTGAGCGGGCTGCAGACCAGCTTGAGCGCCGAGATGAGCAGGCTGCGGGGCGAGCTGGCAGACATGAAGGCTCGCATCAGGCAGCAGATGGACAGCAACACGGCAGTGCTCGGAGACCTGCGACAGCAAGGCGCCGGGGACGCGGCCACCGAGGCGGCGCTATCTGCGGGCGGTTCGACGGAGCCAGCGGCGCCGGCACGCGCGAAAGCGTGATGTGGACCAACGGCCGGCCGCAGGCTGCCTGCCTGGCTGACGGCATTGCCCGGCACATTGAACTCTATCTAGCCTGTCTTGTCCTGCTCCTAGCTCGCTTTGCTTTGCTCACGACTGTGCCGCTGCACTTGTTAGGCTGTTGCCTTGGAGACATCTGAGCCGTTCTGCTCTCTCGTTGCGCCACGTCATCACCCCCCGATCCGCTGTAAATCGGCGTCCCGCAGCGAGTCCGCCACATTTTCCGCACTTCGGGGCCATTCCGGCCAGAACGACGTGAGACGTTGCCGAAAGGTGCTTGCCCTTTGCACCGTATCTCGAGGTTCGAGAACCCCATCCGCCAGACTGGCGACCTCAAGATTTACGCTGCCCAGCGCGCCTGGCTTCACTGCGTACCGTTTCTCACTACGCAGGTAGGCAAGAGAACCAGAACTCGCTTGGCAGGGTGTTTGGGTTGCTGCTGGGAGCCCGCCAGGCAGTGTGCCGCGCACGGCGCACTTGTGATGCACGTGGCGAGTGAACTAATGACACAGCTTTGTGATCGGGGCCGTGCTCAGGGCCGCTTGACTGGGCATGCGGCACCATCATGCCGCATGGCTTCTCGAACCGGCGGCACCCGGTGTGCCAAACAGTGACGCTGCGCCGACAATTCTGCGGTTACTGACCTTGCACATATGCGCATACGCACGCGCGCTCCGCTTTACCCCATGTGTGCAGGACTCTGCTGCCGTCGCCTGCCGCGCGTCCGCGCAGCTGCCACCCACCCTGCAAAGGTGCGAGCTCGAGGTTCGAGAACCCCATCCGCCAGACTGGCGACCTCAAGATTTACGCTGCCCAGCGCGCCTGGCTTCACTGCGTACCGTTTCTCACTACGCAGGTAGGCAAGAGAACCAGAACTCGCTTGGCAGGGTGTTTGGGTTGCTGCTGGGAGCCCGCCAGGCAGTGTGCCGCGCACGGCGCACTTGTGATGCACGTGGCGAGTGAACTAATGACACAGCTTTGTGATCGGGGCCGTGCTCAGGGCCGCTTGACTGGGCATGCGGCACCATCATGCCGCATGGCTTCTCGAACCGGCGGCACCCGGTGTGCCAAACAGTGACGCTGCGCCGACAATTCTGCGGTTACTGACCTTGCACATATGCGCATACGCACGCGCGCTCCGCTTTACCCCATGTGTGCAGGACTCTGCTGCCGTCGCCTGCCGCGCGTCCGCGCAGCTGCCACCCACCCTGCAAAGGTGCGAGCTCGAGGTTCGAGAACCCCATCCGCCAGACTGGCGACCTCAAGATTTACGCTGCCCAGCGCGCCTGGCTTCACTGCGTACCGTTTCTCACTACGCAGGTAGGCAAGAGAACCAGAACTCGCTTGGCAGGGTGTTTGGGTTGCTGCTGGGAGCCCGCCAGGCAGTGTGCCGCGCACGGCGCACTTGTGATGCACGTGGCGAGTGAACTAATGACACAGCTTTGTGATCGGGGCCGTGCTCAGGGCCGCTTGACTGGGCATGCGGCACCATCATGCCGCATGGCTTCTCGAACCGGCGGCACCCGGTGTGCCAAACAGTGACGCTGCGCCGACAATTCTGCGGTTACTGACCTTGCACATATGCGCATACGCACGCGCGCTCCGCTTTACCCCATGTGTGCAGGACTCTGCTGCCGTCGCCTGCCGCGCGTCCGCGCAGCTGCCACCCACCCTGCAAAGGTGCGAGCTCGAGGTTCGAGAACCCCATCCGCCAGACTGGCGACCTCAAGATTTACGCTGCCCAGCGCGCCT